GGAAAGATACCACTTCCAAAATAACCAGAAGCAGGAGAGACCCCCGGGCGATCCCCTCGGCCCACAGACGCACCAGGCGCACACACGCACCACGGCACGACTCCTCACTAACCCGCAGCTAGTCTCCCGAGTTCACCAAAGTTCAACACCGAGTTCAACACAAGCCCAAGGAGATCCTGAGAAGCTGGCTGGAAAGTGCGATTCTTGGGGTCATGACGCGATTTTAAAATTCATTTGGAAAAATAAGCAAACAAAACGGCTTAAAATTTTTTTTGAAAATGACAAGATAGGATACCAGTAGCGGAACAGATCGCAGTGGAAGCTTAACAGCAGCAATGACCCACACCGCAGAAGCCGTCACAGAACACGAGGGATGGACACGATGACCCTGGACAGCTGGAGAACTGTTCTGACAAAGCATGTTCCGAGACACACCTCACACCGTGAACTGAAGTGAGAGAACTAGAAATGTCAATATGTAAGAAGTGATAACATACAAATCATCATTGCTCAAACATTTGGACAAATTACCCAAAAAAAGACAAGCAGTTTGGAGCTGGCTTGGAAGCCTAGTGGTTAAGGGAATTGGATCCCACACCCACATGCCAGACAACACAGTTCAAATCTGGGACCCAGCGGCTTGAAAACCATGTCGGATGTGTGTGCATGCGTGCTCAAAATCCTGACAAGGTAGAGGAGGAGAAGGGACTGAGGTGTGATCATGCCCCCTTCGGGGGCGCCTTCTCCCATCCCCTTCTCTGTTTTTCTGGGAATTGCATAGCATCCCCACCCCCAGCAAATTAAAAGATTTACAGCTTCAAGTGGTACATAAAAATTAAACACTCAGGCAAATCAAAAATTAAATGAAAATAATGCGTAAAAATGAACTGAAAACTACGTAACACCTTCCAAAGTGGCAGACGACACAGCGTGCAGGAAGTGAGCGAGAACACCACCGAGCCTCAAGACGGAGGGACATGGAACCAGACAGACGAGAGGCCAGACCAGCCAGACGAGCAGTGAGGGCTCGCGATGCACGGGGGCAGACACCTTCCTGGTCACTAAGCTCGTGTTGCTCAGCAATCCAAGTCTGCAAGCCTTCAGTGTACCGGAGAGGATGCGGGGTAGAGGGCGCGGAGAAGGCCCGCTGAGGCTGACACCCTGCGCCTCCGGGCCCGGGTGCCCACAGCCCAGATCCCACCCAGAACAGCTGCTGGCCAGCGCCACCTAAGGCAGGCTGTGGCTCAGGCCATGCCGTGGTCTGGGCCAGCGGAGTCTGGGGGTGGGTCATGGCAGAAGACCCTGTTGGGGATGCCTGTACCCCCCTCTCTCTCTCTCTCTCTCTCAGAAGAAATAAACTAACCTAAAAATTATTTTTCTTTTGCCAGAGGGTATGTGTACTCATCAAAGACAGGGGAAGAGAGAGCACAAAAACGCACCCCCATGGGGCATGGCCACATCCTTTCTCCTACACCTGTCAGAATTCTAGACACATCGTCTGACCTGGTATGTTTTATTTGGGGGGGGAGGGGGAAGGGGAGAGGTTTTTGCAATAGGGCATGTGCGCTCGCCAGAAAGACAGAGAGACAGAAAGTGAAGAATCCCCCCCTGGGGAATTGCCACATCACAATCCCTTCTCCTCCATTCTCCTCTCGGGATCTTGGGCACGCACACACACACCCAGAGTTTAAGCCACTGGGTCCAGGACCAAACTGCGGTCAACAACATGGGAGTCTAGTGACATAGCCACTACACCATCTGCTGGTCCCGGCCTGATATGTTTTTCAAGCTACTGGATCTGGGATTTGAACTGCAGTTGGTCATGTGGGTTGAGCTCCCTACACACAGGGTTTAACTGCTATGCTATAGTGCTAGCCTCCCCACAATTTTATTTTTTATAGAAGAATTACTTATTGGAGCCAGCAGGTGCTGGACTCCCACATGGTCAACCACAGTTCAATCCCAGACCTGGCAGCTTAAAACACTCCAAGCGTGTGTGTGTGCATGCCCAAAATCCTGAGGGGAATGGAGAAGGGACTGCAGTCTGGCCATCTCCCCTGGGGGTGTGATTTCTTGCTTTCTGTCCTTCTGTCTCTTGGGCAAGTGCATGTGGCCTATAGCAAAATCTCTCAAAAAAAGAAAAGGGAAAAAAGGCATGATTTATTATTGTGAAAGAGTGGAAATTACCACCCAATTTTCATTTCTAAATGAAAAATTCCCACTGTAACGTTCCTGCCACACTTCTTTTAACTTACACAACCTAGGAAAAGCCTTTTTTTTTTTTTTTGGAGAGGTATTTGATATAGGGCGCGTGCACTCGCCAGACAGACAGAGAGAGACAGAGAGACAGAAAGCGAGAAATCACCCCCCAGGGGGATGGCCACACCGCAATCCCTTCTCCTCCATGCTCCTCTTGGGATCTTGGGCACACATGCACAGGCGCCCGGCGTGAGTTTTAAGCCACCAGGTCCGGGACGTGAACCATGGTCGACTACGTGGGAGTTCAACGACATAGCCATTACGCTAACTGCTGGTCCCCCAAAGCCTGACTTTTCAGAACCTGTGGCTGAAAAAGTGCCTTTGTACGTCAATGATGCCTGCCACCCACCCGACAGTGCCACACGCACAGCAGTCCCCTAGGGTCACCACAGACCACCCCTCGCAGCCTAGGTGTGCACCGCCTACACTACCCAGGTTTGTAAGTGCACGCTGTGATTTCCACAACAAAACCGCCTGACAGCACACCCCTCAGGAAGCTTCCTTGTCATTAAATGCCAAATGTCTGGGCGAATGAGGCTCAATGCGGCATGACAGACCCCTGCCAGGGCATGATACCATCTGAGCCGCTGGTCTGTTGCAGTGAGATCCTATCCTGGGGCAAACCCAGGCCCGGCCTGTGAGCTGCTGCCCATCACACAGTTCCCAACAACGATGCCGGCTGCCTTTACGTAGCTCCCATGTCCAGCCTGCAGCCCACAACGCAAGTCAGCGAGGGGAAACGCGGAGGGCCGAGGAGCATCTCTGCAAGATGCAAATTCAATCCCACCATTTAGACTCTAACCCAGATCTCCAGCCCAAAGGGGCGGCTCTGGCCCTGGTGGTGTGAGCTCACACACTTGTGTGTGCACTCGTGTGTGTAAGGGCCACAAAGCTCCATAACTTCCACACAGTCTGCTCACCCCCAGAGCCAGAGCCATTTTCCAGCCAAAGGAGCTCCTTCCCTCTAGACACGGGGATGGCAGAGACCCAGACCCAGCTCCAGCAGGTATGCAGTAGGCTGTGCAGTACCTTCCACGGAACTTTTGGATCGCTGTTTTGATGTTTTTGTTTTGGAGAGGTTTTTGATATAGGGCGCGTGCACTCGCCAGACAGACAGAGAGAGACAGAGAGACAGAAAGCGAGAAATCACCCCCCAGGGGGATGGCCACACCGCAATCCCTTCTCCTCCATGCTCCTCTTGGGATCTTGGGCACACATGCACAGGCGCCCGGCGTGAGTTTTAAGCCACCAGGTCCGGGACGTGAACCATGGTCGACTACGTGGGAGTTCAACGACATAGCCATTACGCTAACTGCTGGTCCCCCAAAGCCTGACTTTTCAGAACCTGTGGCTGAAAAAGTGCCTTTGTACGTCAATGATGCCTGCCACCCACCCGACAGTGCCACACGCACAGCAGTCCCCTAGGGTCACCACAGACCACCCCTCGCAGCCTAGGTGTGCACCGCCTACACTACCCAGGTTTGTAAGTGCACGCTGTGATTTCCACAACAAAACCGCCTGACAGCACACCCCTCAGGAAGCTTCCTTGTCATTAAATGCCAAATGTCTGGGCGAATGAGGCTCAATGCGGCATGACAGACCCCTGCCAGGGCATGATACCATCTGAGCCGCTGGTCTGTTGCAGTGAGATCCTATCCTGGGGCAAACCCAGGCCCAGCCTGTGAGCTGCTGCCCATCACACAGTTCCCAACAACGATGCCGGCTGCCTTTACGTAGCTCCCATGTCCAGCCTGCAGCCCACAACGCAAGTCAGCGAGGGGAAACGCGGAGGGCCGAGGAGCATCTCTGCAAGATGCAAATTCAATCCCACCATTTAGACTCTAACCCAGATCTCCAGCCCAAAGGGGCGGCTCTGGCCCTGGTGGTGTGAGCTCACACACTTGTGTGTGCACTCGTGTGTGTAAGGGCCACAAAGCTCCATAACTTCCACACAGTCTGCTCACCCCCAGAGCCAGAGCCATTTTCCAGCCAAAGGAGCTCCTTCCCTCTAGACACGGGGATGGCAGAGACCCAGACCCAGCTCCAGCTCCAGCAGGTATGCAGTAGGCTGTGCAGTACCTTCCACGGAACTTTTGGATCGCTGTTTTGATGTTTTTGTCACTGATGACCTGGACACTCTGGTGGAGATCTCGGTCTTAAAAAGAATAAAAATAAAATTAGTTGATTTATTACATGGCAATATCTTCAGCAAATTCATTCCTCAAGCTCTGCTTAAGGAAAAACAGTGTGAAACACAACAGTGCCCGCAGGCTTTCAGAGGGAAACCAGCAGGACCAGACCAGCACCCGCCCTGGGGGCATGCGCACCAGGCCCGCTCCTCCCCTCCCTTCACTTGGTTTACAGCCCAGCTCTCTCTGCGGCCCTGGAAAGGTCCGGTGCCTCGGAGGCCTTGATGGTGTCCTAATCCACCTCCCACCTGCCCTCTGGGCACCTGCCTGAACACTGCCGCACCCTGAAGTGCCACCTGGATGGGCACGCTGGCCCACGCCCTCGGTGGCCGCTATGAGGAGGCTGCGGCTACGCACAGGGTGCCTGGTGAGGTAGAGAGGTTCAGCTATGGGGTCTCACGCAGGCTGAGCAGAGCTAGGAGGGGTTCCTCCAGCGGCCCTCCTCCCCTTCTGTCTGCCTGGTGGCTTTATCCTCTCCCAGACTCGCCCTAATAGCACCTCCACCCTCTCCCACAAGGACGACCAGATCCCTTTACACTGAACCTCACGCTTAGCAAATAAAGCTCAAAAACACCCAGGTCTCCCGTGGAACCCCGAGAATAGCATTCTCCATCTATCCGGCCAGGAGGCAAGCTGTGTACTGATAAATCATTACTCTCACGTTGAAATGACAATGGCCCTATTACATGTCAACCAGACCACCCTCTCTGCCCACAACCAGAAGACCAATACTCGCTATTTCAAGGCAATTCCGAGTTTGCTTCTCTTACCCTTATCTATTTTTATTTTATACAATCACTGCATACCACCACAGCTTACGAGATGAATTCCCCAACATGAACACACTGCTCACCTTATATTTTAAAGCTTACCTCTGTTTCAGCTTTGAAGTCTTTAAAAGATCCATCTGCCAACTTTTTAGACATCTCCCCTGAGCTTGCTGGCTATAAATAAAAAAATCGTTTTTTGGATCAATCTTTACAATTATTTAAGTCTGTAATATCTAAAAACCTATGACGACAACGCCTAAAAGAACATAAACTATTTTATTTGCCACCATCCAATAGCAAGCCGGAGACATAGGAGCTGCACGAAGGGGCGGCTTTTCTTAACTGCCAGAGGGCGCGTGCGCTCACCAGAGACAGGGGCCCCGAAAGCAGCAGGGTCGTGCCGTCATCCCTTCCCCACACTTCTCTGCCCTGCCAGGATCTGGGGCACCCTCCACTTCTCTGCCCTGCCGGGACCTGGGGTACCCTCCACTTCTCTGCCCTGCCGGGACCTGGGGCACCTTCCACTTCTCTGCCCTGCCAGGACCTGGGGCATGCACACACACGCACACGGACACGGACACGTGGACTCGAACTGTGGGCAGCCATGTGGGATCCGACTCCCTTAACCATTAGGCTATGGGGTTACCAAGGAACCCAGGTTTTTATGACAAATATTCTCACTCCAGAATACCCGCACGAGGGGAAAAATGATATTTTAAATAGTAAAACATGGACATTATTCCCAATGGAACATAGAAGTCACTCACTAACGCAACCTGGTCCCTCGGACAGGCGCCCCTTCTCACTGCACCGCAGACTGCAAACGGGCTAGCCCTGCCATCCGCAGCAGGGGCAGCTCACAGGACGCCCGCGGGTCAGTCCTGCGGCACCCAGGCCCTGCTCCAGACAGCTACGCTGTGAGACAAGGTGACACCAAGGGTGGAAGGCCCATGGGGCCAGCTAGGCCGGGCCCCTCACTGCCCAGCCCCACCTGGGCAGGCCCTGACCCTTCCCAAACCCCTGCATCCTCCTTCCCAGCAGCCGGCAGCTGTCCCAGACCCTTCCCACCATCTTCCCAGGACACTCAGGATATGACATTTCCGCAAGAGTGGGCATCTGGGAAACGGCCCTGCCAAGCACGAGCGGCCCAGCCTAACCCGCAGATTCAGAGGACACACTCGAGTCAACAGGATTTCATGGCAACCCTACAGGTACCTGAAATTTCCATGCAACAAGGGTTACGGTAATTGAGTCTTACTCTGAAAGTGACCTACAGCCCACCGTCCAGGCTCCGGGAGACACCACGCACTCCATCACAACGGCCTGTACACAGCACCCACCACAGCGGGGCAGGCTCCTCCCAGGTCTCCGGGAACACCCAAACACGCACGCACACGCACGCGCACACACAGCGAGGCAGAGCTGCCAGCCATGAGGGGACCTGGGGAAGCGGCTCAAACCGACAGACGGTGCTTTCTCCACGCCTGGCAGGGACCCGCCGAACCCCCCAAAGAGCGAGCCTGCCCTGACTCCCGTCTTCCTCCAAGTCGCCTTCCGCCACTCCAGACAACGCTCCAGAGACCCTCCACACCACTGCACTGCCAGTCCGTCCAGCATTTCCTGAGGGAATGTCCTCCATCCCTTGCCAAGACTCTCCATCCATCCCTGCACCACTTCTGTGCTGTGAAAACCAACAATGAACCCAAGGGCCAGCAGGTGGTGCAGTGGCTATGGCACTGGACTCCCACCTGGCCAACTGTGGCTCAAGTCCCAGACAAGGCAGCTTGAAAATCACACGAGCCGGGACCAGCAGTTAGCGTAATGGCTATGTCTCTGGACTCCCATGTAGTCAACTGCTGTTCGATTCCCAGACTCAGTGGCTTAAACTCATGCCGGGTACGTGTGCGTGCGTCCCCAAGATCCCAAGAAGAGAATGGAGGAGAAGGGATTGTTGCATGGCCATCCCCCCTGGGGGTGATTTCTCACTTTCTGTCTCTCTCTCTCTCTCTTTCTGGCGAGCGCACGTGCCCTATAGCAAAAACTTCTCCAAAAAACAAAAAGAAAGAAAAGCATACCAGAGAGTGTGCACATGTGCCCAAAATCCCATGAGGAGACTAGAGAAGGGATTGTGGCATGGCCACCCCCCACCCCAGAAGGGAGGTTTATCACTTTCCCTCTCATTGTCTCTCTCTCTGGCAAGCACATGTGTCCTATGACAAAAACCTTAAAAAAAGGGAACCAGCAGTTAGCGTAATGGCTATGTCGCTGGACTCCCACGTAGTCGACCGCGGTTCACGTCCCGGACCCGGTGGCTTAAAACTCACGCCGGGCGCGTGTGCGTGCGTGCCCAAGATCCCGAGAGGAGAATGGAGGAGAAGGGATTGCGGCGTGACCATCCCCCCTGGGGGGTGATTTCTCGCTTTCTGTCTCTATGTCTCTCTCTGTCTGTCTGGCGAGCGCACGCGCCCTACAGTGAAAATCTCTCCAAAAAAAAAAAATTTAAAAAAAAAAAAAAAGAAGCCACATGTGACCAACACAGCTTATGTTCTTACGGAACTTCTGTCGCAGCAGGAGTCTCCCTGGACATGAAACACGGCCTGGCTGAAAGCTTCTGACACTGTGCCTAACCAGTGGCCGAGCCGCAGACTGCCGTTAGAGTGACAGAGAAGACTACCACCACCCCCTGTGAGAAACTAGCAGCTCTGAGTTCCTACTGGAATTCAAGATCGTCGTAATTTTAAACTGGCATTTCAAACAAAACAATACGCTTCCTAATTGCACGCATTTTCTAATTACATTATAACAAACATTTTTGAGAACACCGCAATTCATTTTTACATTGGAAGAAGTTTTCACATAAGATTTTACCTTTTTCTCCAGTTTATCATGCTCTCTGCTCTTTTCCTTGTCAGGGTCCCTGGAGTGCTCCGTGTCTTTCGCTCTCCGTCTGTCCCTGTCCCTCCCCTTGTCCCGATCGCGCTCTCTGTCCCTGTCCCTCGGCCTCTCCTTGTCCTTCCC